TACATGAGTGACTTCTTCATGAACATATCTCCCTGGGCAAGGGAAACAAAAGCAAAAATGAACAAGTAGGACTATATCAAGCGGAAAAGCTTCTGTACAGCAAAGGACACCATCAATAGAACAAAAAGGCATCGTACAGTATGGGAGAATATATTCATCAATGACAAATCCGATAAAGGGTTGACATCCAAAATATATAAAGAGCTCATGCACCACAACAAACAAAAAACAAATAATCCAATAAAAAAATGGGCAGAGGAGCTGAACAGACACTTCTCCAAAGAAGAAATTCAGATGGCCAACAGACACATGAAAAGATGCTTCACATCGCTAGTCATCAGTGAAATGCAAATTAAAACCACAATGAGATATCACCTCACACCAGTAAGGATTGCCACCATCCAAAAGACAGACAACAACAAATGTTGGCGAGGTTGTGGAGAAAGGGGAACCCTCCTACACTGCTGGTGGGAATGTAAATTAGTTCAACCATTGTGGAAAGCAATATGGAGGTTCCTCGAAAAGCTCAAAATGGAAATACCAATTGACCCAGGAATTCCACTCCTTGGAATTTACCCTAAGAATACCGCAGCCCAATTTGAAAAACACAGATGCACCCCTATGTTTATCACAGCACTATTTACAATAGCCAAGATACAGAAGCAACCTAAGTGTCCATCAGTAGATGAATGGATAAAGAAGTTGGAGTACATATACACAATGGAATATTATTCAGCCATAAGAAGAAAACAAATCCTACCATTTGCAACAACATGGATGGAGCTAGAGGATATTATGCTCAGTGAAATAAGCCAGGCAGAGAAAGACAAGTACCAAATGATTTCACTCTTATGTGGAGTATAAGAACAGAGAAAAACTGAAGGAACAAAACAGCAGCACAATCACAGAACCCAAGGATGGACTAACAGTTACCAAAGGGAAAGGGACTGGGGAGATTGGGTGGGAAGGGAGGGATAAGGGCGGGAAAAAGAAAGGGGGCATTACGATTATCATGTATAATGTGGGTGGGGGGCACCGGGAGGGCTGTGCAACACAGAGAAGACAAATAGTGATTCTACAGCATCTTACTATGCTAATGGACAGTTACTGTAATGGGGTTTGTCGGGGGGACTTGGTGAAGGGGGGAGCCTAATAAACGTAATGTTCTTCATGTAATTGTAGATTAATGATACCACAATAAAATAAAATAAAATAAAAGTTTTACCTGTTAACAATCTCATCCCATCAGAGATTTTTTATTTTCACATTTTAAGAAATACCTTCCACCCATCAAAATGCTGACTGTATGACAAACTCTTTTGTACATGGTCTCATTTAATCTCTTCCATAAAGACTTCATATTAAGAGATATCTCCCACCATTCTAGGGTATAACTTGTGCTCACCTATACAGAGCCTTTTCATTTGATTACATGGTCCACTAGATAGTTCCAATTGCCCACTGCTGTCTTTGAGGTTTCACTTTAACTTGGGTCCAAATTACCGTAAAGAACAGTTTACTGTTTAATAATCTGTATTTAATAATGAATTTCTCTATGCAGTCATTATTTATTATAAATTTAATATTAGAAATTTGTATTATGATTTATTTTAAATTAAATCAATGTATTATTATAAATAAAATATTCTTACAGGATAGGATATTAATGAATTTACCTTAAAAATGTAAACTCAACTGCTTTATGCAAAAGAAAAACTCCTTAATCATTTTAAGATCTTTGAGACACTGACTTGCCTTTTAATTATGTTAATGCCATAGTTTCATTTCTCAGAGAAATGCATTTTTTTCCTGTCTGTTGACTAAGAACTATAGTTGCAAAACCAGCAAGTTGATATTTTTCTCTTAGACGTAACCTTATAGCTTTAAATAATAATAATTCAATAATATTTAAATTTAAAATTTAAACATTTAAATGATGATAAATAATTAAATAATAAGCATTTTTCTACAAGCTGGAATTGTTATCTTTTGAAAGTTCCTAGTTGTTAAACTTGGCCATTGGTGGTGCTGCAGAAACAATTTAGACCTTAGAAGTAGTTTGTCTAAACTGCTATTTTGCCAGAATTGGAATTAACCTACATTTTTTTACTTAACAAAATATCATGAGCATTTTCCAATTTGATTAAATATCCTTTACCAACATGATGCCTAATACCTATGTGTGGTAGTCCATCATATATTTTATTTAACCGGTCCTCTATCTTTAAACACTTAGGTTGTTTCCAGTTTCTTAACCACTATAAATAATACTATTGTGAACATCCTTATGGAACATTTTTGCTTTGAATTATCTCTTAGAATACTTCTAGAAGTATATTTGCGAAGTAAAAGAATGCACATTATTGTAGCTCTTGATACATATTGCCAAGTTCCTTAAAGTATACTACACACATTTTATTGAGCTAACTCTATGCTATATGCTATGTTAGGTATTATAAATTTATCAGTCTTTGAAAAACCAAAGAAAATAGCTATGAATATAAAAGATAAGGAAACAGACACACAAAAGGTTTTGTCTTTGAACTTAGACTGTTAAAGAGCTAGTAAATTATAGTCAGATTTGAAACCCAAGTCTAATTCCAGAGTCTCTGTATTTTATAAACTTGTTCATATTCCAACTAGCAGTATATGAGACTGCCTGAGTTTTTTTAAATTTAAATTGGAAGGAGCCTTAGAAATTTTATCTAACATCATTTCTTTTCAGTGAGAAAACTGAGCCTCAAGTAGAGATAGAGACCAAGTTTAAAAAGTCATATAACTTTTTAGTAGAATCCTTACTGAACTAGACCTCCCAACACCAGACCTTTTTCCCATCACTTCTTTTTTTCTCTTCCTAGAAATCTAGCTTCAGAATTTCTTGCTTTGTGTTTTAATAACCTGTGCTATCCTGTCCCCAGGTTTTTTTAAATGAAGATAAGCTTTGACTGGAGCTATATGAAAGCTTTCAGCAGGAAAGCTAAGCAAAAGAGCCATGTCTGAGGCTTCACAGGAACCTTGCCAGGAAAAGGAAGATTTTCATTCCTGTTAAGTGAGTTAGGTGCCCAGACTGGCCTCTTGAGATGATTCTGGCAGCCTTCAGTGACAGTGCCATGAGCAAAGCAGTAGTGAAGGAGCAGCAGGAAATATGAAAGTAACCTTGTTACAGCCAGGACCTGGTTAAGAGTCACACTGGTCACAACATAGAACAAGAAAAAGCCTAACTTAGTGATTATCAGAGACTAGTAACTAGGATCAAACAATAAAGCAAATTTTGGGAACTAGGTCAGGCAGTAGAAGATGATCTCTCTTGTTCCGTATGTTAGAAACCCATCAGAACCCCTCAGACAGGCAAAAAATTTCAAGTCAATGGAAATAGACACAACAGGGCAAGCAGCGTGCAGGAGTCCACCCATACATGGTCTCACTCAGGAGATCTGACCTCTGAAAGTCCCTGGGTTCCCATTCTGGGTATCTTTGTGATTCCTTTGGGGCAGGAGCTAATCCTGGTAAAGATCAGTTTTCAAGTAGTCAGGAAATGGGGTATATCTGCTTGAGGTGGGCCTGCAGGGACAGAGGACCATCAACAGCTTTTGAGAGAAAATCCCACAGGGCCCTGCACTACTCCAAGTGTCCCCACAACCTTTACCCCACAGGACAGGCTCTTGGTTGTACACAATGGGAGCAATTCAAATCAGTAAGAAGGAGTGGGGTGAGAAGGAGTGGGCATGTCTCAGAGTTCTGTAAAATTAGGCTTTAAAAAATGTCTCTAGGGAAAGTGGGCTGAAGTAGATGAGGCAGGGGGATGGTGTCTGCTCTTTAAATCAGGGTAGTACCCACCTCATAATTATTTGGGAAGTACTGTTTAAGACTCTTTTTTTCTTTTCCAAAGAGATACTACTCTTGGCTTTTATTTGCTCTTGACCTTCCATAAGCAGAAGGAGATCATTCTAGTTGCTTTGCTAGCTTTTCTGGAGATTGTGTGACCTACCATGTCTGGGTTTCGGCTTTGCTAATATTGCTTGATTTGTTCTTCATATGTACCAAAAGTGTGGCAGTCACTGTTTAAACCCTCTTTGTTTGAACTATGTGGTTTACAGAGTCTTTTTTTCTTCTCCTGTTTTTTGACCAGGTCCTTTCTACTGTAGCCTGTTTGAAACTAATGCTTTCAACAGGTTTTAAGTGAGGCTGATTTTTAGTGAATGGCTAACTACTTAGAGAGTATTTTCACTGTCTCACGTAGTCCTAGATTAATATATTAACCTAATTTTCTTTATTTATTATTTAAAAATATTTAGCAGTTTTCTACAAATATTGTGGAAGTATATCCATATGTCACATAGTAGATAATAAAATTTTTCATGAGTAAATATTGCACTTCAATTTGGTATATTCTAAAACAAATTAAGAAGGCCTCTTCTTACTGGTAATAGGAATTTAAACTTTATTTGGCACAAAGTAGACATTTTTCTTGATTCATATGACATTCCATGAAATGTTTATTTTCATTACTTACTGTTAGGGTTTGATAAGTAACAACAATGAACAAGTCACATGGCATCTACCCTCATGGGTTTCCCAATCCATTAATTGATAAATATGTTAAATATTTCCCTAATGATAATATTAACCACCGTTTATTATGTGCCAGGTCATGTGTTAAGCATTTTGCATGTGTCATCTCATCGAATCCTTCTAATAACCCTGTGGAAAGATGGTATTATATACCATTTTTTACAAATACTGAAACTAAGATAAGAAACTTGCTCAGTGTCACATCATTCTAATAAGACAAAACCAGAACACAAACACAAACATGTCTAATTTTAGATCCCTTCTAGTCTTTTGTCTTCTTGCCTCAAACCTTTGACATATAATTTGGTGCCTCATGTTAAAATAAATATTTAATAGTAAACTGTTACTAATTAGCCCAAGAGCACTAATATGTAAGGAATCCCTGTTTTTCTGCCCATTTCTTAGGAAGAAACCCTGCACAAGTCAGCCAGCAGCAGCAGTGTGTCTCCCTCCTTCCTTGAAGATCCTTTATTGGAGGCTGTGTCTGCAAAAAAGAGTGAGTATTTGTGGTACAAAGAACTAGTGCAGATATCTTTAAAAAATGCACTTGACATAGAATAGGGAATCCCAAGGTGCCTTGTGATCATCTAAGGTAAAAAGAACTAACCCTGAATTTTCACTAGTCAGAAACAGAAATACTTTGTTACATTCCTAGAGTGACATCTTAAGGCAGGGCTAAACTGATAACGCTCACTCTAACCTTTAGGTACTAACAAAGCAAACAGAAGGAAAACCCAAGAGCACTTCACACACACACACACATCCATATCTGTATCCACATACATGTGTATGTAGTAAAACATCTTTGTAATTCTTCAGGCAATAGGTTTTGAATGCAGCATCTAAAGTTCACTAATTTCTAAATGCTTTTAGTAGTCTTTTTCATTTGTAAGACCATTATAAAAGATTAAAATTTATTTAAGGGAGAGGATTCTGTGAAGATGGCAGAGTAGGAAGCATCAGGAAATTTGTCTCCTCACCTCTCCCACGTTGCAATGGCAGAATCTGATGTAACTATTTTGGAACTCTGGAGTCTACTGAAGGCTTGCAACTTCCAGGGGAAGACTTGGATGAAAATGTCTGGTTAATTTCAGTCAATTTCAGCTCTTAGTACAGTAGCAGCTACTCATCCCCTACCCCCAGCCATATGGCAGGCAGCTGTACACTGTTCCTGGAGTAGCTTGCAGGAGCCAGATGTGCAAAAAGGACCCTGTCCTCCAAATATTGGGAATCAATGCTCTCATTGATGAGTTTGATAGGTGATTCCAGAGGTGCAAAGAGGCAGGCAGTCACTGTTGCAAACTCCCTTCCGCCCCTGACTTGTTCATGTACTTCCATGGGATTTAAAGGGCTAGTGCCCTTTCCTCTCTCCCCCTCATTTTTCACTTTTTCCCCCTTTTGAGAACCAGACATTAAAGACTAGAACATTAAATAAATAACTGCATATACAGGGAAAATTGGAAAGTGACTTCATGCCCAGGGAATGGCTCATAAAAGACCTGAGAAGATCTTAAGTTTACACCTCAGGCTGATCCTCAGCACAGAGACAGTCTGCAATAATTAAGAAAACAACAAATAACAAAAAACAGCAAGACCTGAGGAGGAGGAGAATCTGATTTCCAGAGTTACACATTATTAATTCGAATGTCCAGTGTTCAACAAAATATCACAAGGCATATAAAGAAACAGGAAAGTGTTTTCTCATTCAGAGGAAAAACGTAAATCAACAGAAACTATCCCAGAAAAAGACATGAAGACAGATATACCAGAAACATTTTAGAAACTGTTTTAAAGATGCTCAAAGAACTAAAGGAAGATGTGGAGAAAGTCAAGAAAACAATGTGTGAACAAAATGGAAGTATCAGTAAAGAGATAGGAAACCTAAAACAAAACTAAAAAGAAATTCTGGGGCTGTAAAATCTAATAACTGAAAGAAAAATTCACAAGAGGGATTCAAAGGCAGATTTGAACAGGCAAAAGAGTCAATGAATTGGAGATAGGACAATGGAAATGATCAAGTCTAAGGAATAGGAAAAAAATTGAAGAAAAGCAAACAGAGACTAAGAGACCTGTGGTACACTATCAGATGGAGCAACATATGCACTGTGGGACTCCCAGAAGGAGAGGAGAGAAAGGGGCAAAGAGAGTATTTGCTGAAATAATGGCTGAAACTTCCCAAAAAATTTAATGAAAGACATGAATAGAAGCTCAGCTGAGATGAACTCAGAGAGACCCACACTGAAACACATTATAATCAAACTTTCAAAAGACGAAGACAAAGAATCTTGAAAGCATCAAGAGAAGTGAATTGTCTCATAGAAGAAAACCTCAATAAAATTTTCAGCAGATTTTTCATCAGAAACTTTGGAAGCTAGAAGATAGTAGCCAATACAGGTTTCCCCCACTATTCTATAGTTTGCTTTATGCTACTCTACAAAAGACCCTTCTGAGTATCTGTTTGCACTGATCAAAAGAATTCTGAAGAGGATCACTTCTATGAAATGGTAATTGCACTTCACTTTACAACCTTTCAGCTTGTAAAGGATTTTTATGGGAACACTCTATTTTCAGATACTGAGAGAAACCTGTTTATTCAAAGTGCTAAAAGTAAAAAAAATCAACCAAGAAGCCTATTTCCAGAAAATTGTCCTTCAGAAGCTGAAGAAGAAACCAAGATATTCCCAGTTGAACAAAAGATGATGGAGTTTGTGACCACTAGACCTCCCTGAAAGAAAAGCTCAACTAAGTCCTGCAGGGTGAAATGAAAGGATACTAGATAGTACCCCAAAATCAGATGGAGGAATAAGGCTCGCAATAAAGGTAAATACATGGGCAATTATAAAGCTAATATTATTGTAACAATGGTTTATGACTGTACCTTTTTTACATGATTTGAGTGACTAATACATTTAAAGAAAATACAATGATTAAAAGCTAGTATTGCTGTAACTTTAGTTTAACTCAAAATCTTGTTTTTCAACAAAATTTGATAGACTGATGCATTTAAAAGAATTATTACTCCATGTTTTGGGGCAGACAGTGTATACAAATGTAATTTTGTGACACTAAAAACCAGAAAGTATGGGGACAGAGCTGTATAGGAGTAGAGTTTCTGTGTGTTTTTGAAGTGAAGCCTGGTATAAATCCAAATTAGAGTGTTACAACTTTAGGATGTTAAATATTATCCCCCCCTGTTTTGAGAGAAATCTTCTGCATTCATGGATGTTTTGTTGCCCTTGTCTAGCTTGGATTAATACTTAGTCTATAGGCACAGACCTGATCATCTACATTTGCCCTCTTACAGCACTAAATTATGTTTTCTACCTTTATCTTGCATCTATCTACCACTTCAGCATTTTATTAAAAAAATAATAATAATAAGGGAGAAATGTGGGATTCACATATAAATAAAGTATAAAAATCAAATGAAAAAAAAATATTATACCATGGTAACCACAAAGAAAATAGCTATAGACTATACACAAAAGAAAATGAGAAAGGAATTTAAACATTTCACTAAAAAAATTAAACACAAAAAACATGAATACAGGAAATGAGGGACAAAAGCTATTAGGCATATAGAAAACAGCACAGTGACAGAAGTCCCTCCTTATCAGTAATTACTTTAAGTATGAATGAATTAAACTCTCTAATCAAAAGCCAGAGCTTGGCAGAGTGGATAATAACACATAATCCAACCATATGCTGTCTACAAAAGACAACTTTGAGATCCAGAGACACAAAACAGATTGAAAGTGAAAGGATGGAAAAGACATCCTATGCAAATAGTAAGCAAAAGACAGCTTGGGTAACTATACTAATATCAGACAAAATAGACTTTAAATTAAAAATGTTACAAGAGACAAAGTCGAACATTGTATATTAATAAAAAGTTCACTACAGCAAGAAGATACAATAATAATAAGCATTTATGCACCTAAGGACACACCATCAAAATACACACCATCAAAAAAACGACAGAATTGAAAGGAGTAATAGACAGTTCTACAATAATAGTTGGAGAGTCCAGTACCCCATTCACAATAATGGATAGAGCAACCAGACAGAAGATAAGGAAGTAACTAAACAACACAATAAATCAACTATACCCAACAGACACATACTGAACACTACCCAAGAACAGCAGAATATACATTCTTCTCAAGTACATATGAAACATTTTCTAGAATAGACCATATATTAGGGACAAATTAGGTCTCAAAATATTTTAAAAGATATCTCACAAAGAAGATACAATGTACCTTCTCTGGCCACAGTGGGATTAAGTAGAAATCAATAATAGAAAGAAAACCGAAAAATACACAAAATTGTGGAAATTAAACAACATACTTTTTAAAAATAAATGAATCAAAGAAGAAACTACCAGGGAAATTAGAAAATACTTAGAAATGAATGAATATGAAAATACAACATACCAAAACTTAAGGGATGCAATAAAAGTTGTACTAAGGGGAAATTTATTGCTGTGAACACTTACATTTAGAGACAAGAAATTTTAATGTGTAGTCCATGCAGTAAATGTTCTGGTTTTTTTTTTTAAAGCACCTCAAATCAACAACCTAACTTTATAACTTAAGAAAATAAAAAAAAGAACAAACTAGCTGAAGGAACAAAATAAAAAAGATTAGAGATAAATGAAATAAAGAATAGGAAAACAGTGGAGAAAGTCAGTGAAACCAAGTTTGTTCTTCAAAAAGATCAGTGAAATGGACATGCCTTTAGCTAGATGAAGTAAGGGGAAAAAAGCTCAAATTACTAAAATCAAAAATGAAGGGACATCACTACTGATTCTACAGAAATAAAAAGAACTATGAAAGAGGATTATGAACAATTGTATACCATCAAATTGGACTACCTAGATGAAGTGGACAATTCCTCAAAATGCAAAACCTAGTAAGAATAAATCAGAACAAAAAAGAAAATCTGAATAGACCTATAACTAGTAAGGATGTTACTCCTTACTTTTTTTTATTAAGTCATAAGTATAAAATCTCCCAACCAGAAAAAGCATGAACCTGATGCTTCACTGGTGAATTCCACCAAACATTTAAAGAATTACTGCCACTCCTTCTCAAATATCTCCAAAATATTGGAAAGGAGGTAACACTTCCTAACTCATTTTGTGAGACCAGTATTACCCTGATACCAAAGCCAAACAAACACACTACAAGAAAGTAAAACTACAGACCAATGCCCCTGATGAATATTGATTTTTAAATCACCAACAAAATATAGCAAACAGAACTCAGCAGCATATTAGAAGGATTATACACCATGACCAAGTGGGATTTATTCCTGGAATGCAAGGATGGTTAAACATACAAAAAAATAATTAACATAATATGCCACATTAACAGAATGAAGGAAAAAACCCACATGAATATTTCATTTGATGCAGAAAAAACATTTGACAAAATTCCATACCCTTTCATGATAAATATTAAACAAATTAGGAATAGAAGGTAACTACCTCAACATAAAATCCATATATGAAAAACCTACAGCATAAATCATACTCAATAGTGAAAGACTAAAAGTGTTTTCTCTAAGGTTAGGAATAAGCCAAAAATGCTTGCTTTCATCACTTCTATTCAACATAACACTGGAAGTTCTAGCCAGAGCAGTTTGGCAAGGAAAAGAAATAAAAAGCATTCAAATTGGAAAAGAAGAAGTAGATTATCTCTTTTTTGTAGATATGATCTTATATATACAGAAAACCCTAAAGGCTCCACACAAAAATAAAACTGCTAGAATAAATGGATCCAGCAAAGTGACAGAATACACAGTCAACAGAAAAATCAGTCGCATTTCTTTACATGAACAATGAATAATCTGAAGGGGAAATTACAAAAACAATTCCATTTTTAATAGCATCAAAAAGAATGAAATGCTTATGAATTAACCAAGAAAGGACTTGTTCACTAAAAATTATGAAACATTCCAGAAAACAAAACATAAATAAATGGAAATATGTCCCATGTTTGTAGATTAGAAAATTTAATATTGTTTAAATGTCTGTACTGCCTAAAGTGATCTACAGTTTCAGTGTAGTCCCTGTCAAAATGCCAATGACATTTTTTGCAGAAATAGAAAAAAACAACTCGAAAATTCATACAGAATTAGAAGGAACCTGTGATAGCTAAAACAATCTTGAAAAGGAACAAAACTAAAGAACTCATACTTCCTGACTTTAAAGCTTAACTACAAAGTTACAGTAACCAAAGTGTTTAGTATTGACATAAAGAGAAATATATAGACCAATGGAATATAATAAAGAGCCCAGAATAAACCATCACAAGGCAAATGATTTTTTGACAAATACGTCAAGACCATTCAGTGGGGAAAAGACCATCTTCGACAGATGATACTGGAAAAAATGATATCCAAGTGCAAAAGAATGAAGTTAGACTTTTACCTAATACCATATATAAAAATTAACTCAAAATGGCTCAAACACCTAAATGTAAGACCAAAAATAATAAAATTTTTAGAAGAAAATGTAGGACAAAAGCTTCATGACATTGGATTTGACACTGATACCTTGGATATTACACCAAAGACATAGATAACAAAAGGGAAGAATAGAAAAATTCGAATTCATGAAAATTAAAAACTTCTGGGCCTCAAAAGACACATCAGCAGAGTAAAAAAGGCAACTCAAAGAACTGAGAAAATATTTGCAAATCACATATCTGATAAAGGATTGAGACCTAGAATATATCAAGAACTAAAACTCAATAACAAAAAGATAACCCAAATAAAAAATGGGCAAAGGACTCAAGTAGGCATTTCTCCATAGAAGACATACAAGTGGTCAACAGGTACTTGAAAAGATTCTCAACATCACTAAGCATTAGGGAAGTGCCAGTCAAAACTAGTGAGATACAGCCTTACACCTATTAGAGTAACTGCTTTCAAAAAAAACAGAAAAAAAATGTTGGCAAGAAATGTGGAGAAATTGAAATCCTTGTGCGTTATTGGTGGGAATGTAAAATGGTCCAAGTGCTGTATAAAACAGTATAGTGATTCCTTACAAATTTTTTAATAGAATTTTCATATGATCCAGCAATTCTACTTCTGGGTATATACCCAAAAGAATTGAAAGCAGGGTCTTGAAAAAATATTTGTACACTCATGTTCATTACAACACTATTCACAATAGCTAAAACATGGAAGCAACACAGTGTCCATCAGTGGATGAATGGATAAGCAAAATGTGGAATATCTAAACAATGAAATATTATTCAGTCTTAACAAGGGGAGAAATGCTGTAGTAGTCTACAACACAGATGAAACTTGAGGACATTTTTCTAAGGGAAATAAGGCAATAACAAAAAGGCAAATAACTTTATGATTCTACTTAAATGATGTATTTAGAGTAGTCAAATTCATAGGGACAGAGAGAAGAAATGGTAGTTGCAGAGGTCTGGGGGAGGGGCAATGGGGAGTTGGTGTTTAATGGTTGTAGTTTCAGTTTTACAAGATGAAGAGTTATTGAGTTGTATGGTGGTAGTGGTTGTACAACAATATATGAAAAACCACTGAACTGTAGGTTTAAATATGGTTAAGACAGTAATACTATGTTACATGTATTTTGCTGCAATTAAAAAAAAAAACTTAACAAGAGGAAAAACTTCTTCCTCAATGCCAAAAAAAACAAATAACCCAATTTAAAGATGGGCAGACAACCTGAACAGATATTTTTCCAAAGACATACAAATGGCCAACAGGCACATGAAAAAATCCTCCAAATGGTTGATCATCAGGGAAATGCAAATCAAAACCACAGTGAGATATCACCTCACACCAGTTAAAATGGTCACTATCCAAAAGACAAGAAATAACAAGTGTTGGCAAGAATGTAGAGAAAAGGGAACCCTCTTACACTGTTGGTGGGAATGTAAATTGGTGTAGCCACTGTAGAAAGCAGTATGGAGGTTCTTCAAAAAACTAAAAATAGAAATACCAAATGACCCAGTAATTGCACTTATAGGAATTTACGCAAAGAAAACAAAATCCTTGACTCAAAAAAAATATGTGCCCATATGTTTATTGCCGCATTATTTACAATAGTCAAGATATGGAAGCAATCCAAGTGTCCATTAATAGATGAATGGATAAAGAAGATGTGGTACATATATACAATAGAATATTACTCAGCCATAAAAAAAGAAGAAATCCTGCCATTTGCCACAACATGGATGGACCTAGAGGGTATTATGCTAAGTGAAATAAGCCAGGCAGAGAAAGACAAATACCATTTGATTTCACTTATTTGTGGATACTAAAAACAAAATGAACAAAATAGCAATAGACTTATAGACCCTGAGAAGGGATTGGTGGTTACCATGGGGGAGTGGGTGAGCTTGGTAGGTAGGAAGGGTGAGGAGAATAAAGGGGCACAAAAATCTCCATCATAATATAAATTGGTCACAGTGATGGGAGGGCAATGTATAAAGTATAGCCAATTGTTCTGTAACATCTTTCTATGTTGACAGATAATAACTGCACTAGTTGGGGTGAGGATTTAATAATGTATGTAACTGTTGAACCACTGTTAGTTATAATACCCCGATATAATACTGTGTTTCAACTGTACTTCGATTTAAAAAAAAAAATGTCCTTAAAACATTGATTTGGTTTCCTATACATATGGAGTTTTTAGTAGTTACAATTCTTTAAACAGGATTTTGATTCAATTAAAACAGACTATATCAAAAAAACAGTAGGAGCTGGTTATTGTCTGTAATTGGTATTTAGCCAGGCCTTTTAAATAGTATAGAGACCCAATTAAATCACATAAGGGACTTATGTATTTTTTTTATTATGTTCTTTGTTTTCCTTTAGTGATTTCTCTTGGTGAGACAGTCAAAATAGATGGGTCATGTTTAACTTCGTGCTGACTTTGACTTACTTCAGTCACTACATTGAAGCAGCCTTACTTTACAGAGAGTAGGAGGAAGTACTAAATAAAACTGGCAGCATAATTTATTTCTAATCCTCTCCTTATGTTTTCAAAAATGTGAGTCCAGAACCATTCAAAGCCTTAAACATTTTCTTTTAAACCCTGTCCCAAAATATTTGGTAGGCAGAAGAGAGCAGTGGTACAGTATTAACATCAACACTGGAATTTATTTTTCAAAATCTAAATATAGCTTGATATAAACCTATGGACAAAATAGCTTGATAAACATCAAGGAAGAGTTTTCATATTTTATCTTTAAAAAGAACATAACAGGAAGGTACACCTGAAAATTTTGGTAAGATTTTAAGAGTCTTTTTGGACTCACAGAATACATACTTTTACATATTTTTAAATAATGCCTGATGCTCTTTACTTGCAAAATTCTGTGTGAAATAAGCTGCATTTGTATATAGAAATATGAGACTATATTTTAATGGTGTTTTTATGTATGAATTTGAGTGAATATTAATATTTTTCCTCTTTTCCTTGCTATTTCTGTAGAAAGTTTAGCTTCCAAAGATTCTTCTATACCAGTCTTCACAGTATCCCCCTAGGACCTCTAATCTTAATATAACTCTCTGATGAAATAAACAGTTCATCTTTGAATGCAGTGTTTGTCACAAATGACAAAGGGTTTTCTGTTAGAAATTCAAAATCTAAGATTTTTGTTGTAAGAAAGTTCATTTCAGCTTGGTTAATTTCATGTCTTTAGAGCCTCCAAAATTCCTGCCCATATCATCAACACCCCAGCCAGAAAGACGGCAGCCACCCCAGAGACGGCATTCCATTGAAAAGGAAACACCTACTAATGTGAGACAGTTTCTGCCACCATCCAAACAGAGCTCCCGATCTCTTGTAAGTAACTGAAAGACCCTGCAGTGAATGACTTAAGAATCTTTAGCTTTCTTGAGATGACTATTAGGAGCAAAAACTTCCAAAGGTTAGGATGAACTTTAAATAACCTTATTCATTTTTAATAGCTAAAGAAAACCAACCCTGTCAGTGTCCTAAATGAAATTTGTTCGTTTAGTTTTTTTTTTTTTTAGGAAGACTTACTTATAAACAGTCAAAAGTATGGATTATTATTAAAGAAATGCTTTCTTCTTTCAAAAGGTATTAATCCACTTAAAAATTGTTTAAACTAATCAAAAGACTTAACAAAGTCTGACTAGAATAGACTGTTTTATTGAGGCGGAAGTACAAGGGGAGAATTTTGATCCATTACAAGCCATTGCACATTGTTTTCAACTATGTTTTGTGATACTGAAACGAAAGCTGATGCTAGTCCAGATAGCAATCCAGGTTGACAGTTTTTGTTGTTTTCCAGAGACTTCAGGTTCACATAGTGGCTACTCATTTCCCAGGACAGTAGCATATAGTACACAAGGCCCTGCCAGGAAGACGTTGATAGAGCCACCAGCCAAAAGAGGTCTGCACAGATTCTTTGTAGTCTACCTTGACATCAGAAGTATTTGCAGGCAAGATACAAGGCTTTAATCAATAATTGTACCAGCAAACTCATGTCTAAAGTTTTTTTCAGATACTCAAGAATAAAAAACACTGGAATGCATATTAGTCCATATTTTTAGGCAGTGATGAATCATCAGGGGTTCAAGTGAAGCAATAACAGATGTACCTCCCTCAAAGTAGATGGAGATAGTTTGGTTATTGTGAAAATACTGAGTTTGAACAGAGTTTATAGTATTGAAATTTGATCAGTCATTCCCTATTCCTAAATAAAACAATTAAAGAACTAATGATTTTAGGGCAATTCCTGATAATATTCCTCTAATTCCTAAATAATAACTGAAACACTGAGACTAGGTTAAATATAGCTTCATCAGTGGTTTACCAGCAGAAAAACAGAACTTTAACAGGGAGGCTTAAACTTTAAAATCCAAAGACTTATGAATCTGAATATGTTATTACTTTTAGCAAAATATACAATTAGTGTCACAACTTAAAAAATAAAAGAGGGAGCTCCTCTGTGACTTTTTTCACAAGTCCAGTAATCAGAAGATTCTTCTCTTCACTCAGCTTTTCCTAGAAGCCAGTTTATCATTCAGCTGTGCACCTGGTCTTGTGATCATATGATATCATTGTTGAAGTTAGACTTAAATTTTAATATGTCAATGTGAAGGAACTATCAGATCAACTACAAAGAAATTTTGGCTGATAATAGAAGTTTTGCCAAAACCATCAGCCTACATCAGGAGCCTATGAAGGGCATATTTCCTGGAGAAGGAGATCTCTTAGTGTATGCTTGGTCAGGCTGTGAGTTGTTTTTTGTGGGAAAAGAGAGCAAGATGAGACCTATCTGCAGTCAGCAGAGAAGGGTCTCAGCACAAAGCAGTGGGAGAGCATCTCTGGTCAGCACTGGCTGGTGTTCAGGTTCCCTGTGGAACTGCACCCCTTGAGGTGCCTCAGGCACTAACTGGAGCAGAACAGCATCCAGGTCAGAGTGATGACTTTTCTTGCTAGTAGCTTATCTTCAGAAATGCATAAAACCACACTTCTCTCATGGTAGTGCCTTGTAGCTTGGTACGTATTGTTTTTAAAAGCATGATAGTTAATTAAAATTTTAGCTGTGTTTTAGAAAACAAGGAATCATTCTGTATTTATAACTCCTCAACTGAAAATGGCAGAAATGTCTTTGCTGTTACTCTTTTTTATTTTTATTGTATCTCCCTCCCTTTCTGTAGGATGTTTAAAATGTTTTCATCATTTAGTCAAATGATTGAGGATAATTGCCCATAGAAGTGAAAGGCAACTTGTCTTTAATCATTTTCTGAAAGAAAGCCAGTGGCTGCTTCATGTATATTCTCACACTTTCTCAGACACAGTATGCAGTTGCTGCTGACCAGCATCCCACAAGCCCCATTTAGGAAAGTCAGATTCACAGAACAACTAGGTTAGAAAAAATCTTAAATTTAAATATTTGCTGTGTGGACTTTGATTACTGATTGATTCCATATGGATGCAGACGTTGGCATGGACACACATTTGGAATCTACTGTTAACAGCCTCTGTGGTGTTTTGTTTTTCTTGTTTTTTTCTTTCATGCTCTGTTATCAGTATTTGTAGGTCACTCATGTTCAGCATTATTTTCTCCTTTTCCCCCTGCCATTTTCCTTTACCCCTTATCTATCGTTCAGGTTCCTAGGATAACCAGTGTATGGCCAAGGACGCCTTTCCGACCCCTTTTTTCTACCATACAAACAGCTTCTCTGCTCAGCTCGCACCCTTTTGAAGCAGCCATGTTTGGGGCAGCAGGGGCTATGTATTATCTCTGTGAGAGAGCTTTTACCAGCAGGTGGAAATCCTCAAAGGTTGGCCTCTTTCTGCTGGTTCTGGGAATTATTTTACTCTGTCTCTTTGGCAGTGATACCTCCACTCCTGCACTCTCTGAAAATTAACAGCTTAGATGGGCATTTTGCTTCTGATTATTGATTCCAATCTTTTGTAGGATGCATAGATCATATCATGATCTCAGTTGAGAAGAAAATAACTTTGAAAGGACAACAAACTCAAAATGCAGCATCAGATTAGAGGCAGCGAGTGCGTCTCTATGAGTGATGTAATTGTATAGCAGGAGGAATGCCATCTCCTTCTGCATGTGCCAGGGCACTCTGACAGCCTGTGGGATGCTCTGCTCTCTCAGCTGGCAGAACAGTCTCCTCCCAGGCCAGAAAGCCATGGGGACTCATGCCACCCACACTGTGTCATTGCCCATTTCCCATGCACCCCACCACAAGCTCCAAGGGGCTATGCATCCATAGTATGTGTCTACCTTAAGCTCAGAGAATCTTTCTTTTCCCCAGCACCTTTCTTAAAGCTGCATTGTGATGGTCCAGGTGTTACATGTTTTTGTGACAACCCAGTTTTACTTCACTGTGGAGAGAAATTTTAAGTTTTGTTTTTGTTAATGTGGTTATTTAAAATAATTCAAATAATTCTGCTTTTTATTGTTTTTGAGATTTTCACACAGAATATATAGTTTTAAATAAAATATAATGATCTCTAAACGCCAGTGGAGTAAAAAGCCAGCAGACCATGTCAGTGCTTCCCCTGCCCTTCAGTGTAGTGCCTTCTACAGACCAGTGTTGGCAGCCGCCTTGCCTGTTCCACCTCACGTAGGTTCTCCAGGGTCCTTTAGGTACTAAACATATCCTTGACAAATGGACCAGCAGCTGGTTTCTTTGTTATTCTTTATTACCCATCTTGGTTTAGGAGGGAGATTCTGAATGTAAATGAGATACAACAACTTCCTTTGTCATGAAACACAGGATAAATCTCTGTTCTTTCTCACATTTTAGATCTGGCCATTTGGGTAGTACATACGCAGGTGCAGGGATGGCATTTTAATTCCTGTCATTCCTCCTATTACTGAAGATAATGCTTATATTTTTATTTTGATTATCAATCCCTCCCAGAGATATCTGTATACTGAGCGTTTTAAAGTTGAACTTGAAAAAAAAGAAGAGTAATTAAATTAATAGTTGCTGTTTCTATCTAAATCTGCCTTCCTTTGGTTTATTAAAAACTAAAAAAAAAAATGGTTGTTTTGGATAATCTTCAAATATCTACAACTTATAAAGTTTTTATTATCAAAAATACTATGTTAAATATGGCTATTCCCATTCTTTCTGTGGCTCAGAAACCAAATTATACATTATGCTCTCTAATTTCTGTGCTGCCTAACTCTGGTCATTTTGGATGGTAAATATAACCAGAATATTCAACAAAAACTCAGCAATTTTAATGACATACATAAAAATAAGTTCTAAAGGCACATATCATAAAGCATAACTGTAATCTTTATCTTTATTAAAACTTTCAGATTTCGCTTCCCTTTCTTATATTTGGGACTCACATTGAAGCACAGACAAGCAAGGGAGTTACTAGAATTTTGCCGATCTAGTCCTCATAGTCTGTGTCTAGCTGGGAAAACGAACTTAGTGCCTAAGGTAGGAATAACTAAGGCCAGGGTAATGATGGGGGAAAGGGCTCTCACTCATGGTTAAATCCCGAGCACTCTTCACATTTGGAACATTGGTATTCCAGCAAGATCTCTTCAGATTTAATTTGACTTTGGGGATGTTGAATTAATATTTTTTGTCAATTGAAAAAAAAATAATGAAAACTATTCTAATTAACTATTTATTATTTTTCTTTAATGTTGCATTAAAGTTTTGTTGTCCTTGGGAAAGCACCAAAATTAAAACATTAGCATTTGACCTGATGGAAATTGTTTTATTAAAGGGTAATCTGCTTGAAATTTAAAAAAAGACAAGAACACAAAAAATTCCACAATATCTTATTATATCCTATGAAGTCCTAGATTTATGTGTGGCTCCAAGCAGTAAGTTGAAAGTATGCTTGACTAAGCCCTTTAGTGACATGACTGAGGATAGGGAAGTAGACTGTCAGGTTTATTATGGATGCTAGTATATCCCCACAAATAAAAAGGATTCCCGTGTATACCAGAAATGTTGACCAGCCTGGTTGTGAAGTGAATTAATTAACTAAGCCCTGTTTGCCATCTTCCCGGCATGTACAACAAATCTCACGTGGTGTGTGTCTGGTTATTTGCTAGATTTATACATTATTTGGTTCAAACTCAGAAATTTCGTCACATAGGTAGCCATCAGAAAACATACCACAGTCATGCCACTGAAGAATAAAAATGACTATAGGAAAACTTATGAAATATGTTAAAAGCTGAGAAAAGCCATCATACAGATGTGTGTAGCCAACAACAATTACCTCATACACAGTTTTAATGGCCTAACCTTCATAATGGCAGTACACTGTTCCCATTTGACACTTAAGTTCTTTTCTTGGGGGGGAGGGGTAGCAAAACAAAGCAGATATTGGATATGCCAGTTTAATCCCATTATCTTTGAAATTTTTTCCCACTGAAAGAGAAAATTATGTGATGGTGATTTTTTTTTAAGTGTTCTAGACATCTTAGAGCAAATGATACAATCTTTCTGAACAAACTATCTTCCTACCCTCCCAATACTAAGCTCTTCATCTTAAGAATTCAATTGCAGGATTTTTTCCAAAACATTTTTGAGCAAATTTAGCCCTCCTTAACTTAGCTTGAACAGAGATAATTTTGTATGGATAAGAAGCCATAGTTCTTCAAACTACTTTTTTTAGTAAATGCTAATGTTTGTCACATTTGCAACCTAGATTTGTTTTTGTTTTTCTCTGATTGAAAGACAGAACTGAATGTTAAAACTCCATAAACTGACTGCATTCATAGTCATGTGCTTTCTCATGTGGCTTGTTTGATTCCAGAATGCCTGTGGGCAATGCTATTGTGTGTTGTGTGGGAGTGAATTGTAATGTGTACTGAGGACATTAAGTTTCAGTGTCACTACACCACAATGGCCCTTGTGAAGCCTGGCAGTGTGAGAATGCACAAGACCATTCTGTCTTTCTATTAGATCCGCCAATCAAGTGCGAGGCCGGATGGGCAGCAGATGGGTATGAGGTTCTTTATTCAGTGGGATCAGTTACATCAGCATCTTCCTCAGCTGTTTTTAAGGAAACCATTAACATAAGACAGCCAACATAAAAATTTATTATGAAAATTAATATTTATTTACTTACTTATTGCAAAAATCTTCTGATTTTTTCTACATCTTTCCAGTGCTGACCATGCATTCAGCAGTTGTTTAAAAATAATAACAGAAACCTGGAGAACTGTGGACAGCCTGTAGAAATTGCCTTTTGGCTGTAATCTACACCAGTAATTTACTTGTTCCAGTCCCACTCACACCATTAGGATTTTTCAAGGTGTGCTGATGTAACTTACCACTAAGTAATGCTTCTCAGTATAAATTACTAACCACCTTCTTCTGGTTATTCTGGGTACCACAGACCAGTTTTTAAAATAGTATACCAATGTTGTACATTTTTTGTTTGTCTATTAGCATGTAATATACAGCGCAACAGTAAGTAATGTCTTTGTATAATCATAAGAGAAAACTGACATAAATTTGGTTTAGAACAACAAAATTGACGATTTCAGTGCTTAGATACATAACTCCACTTAATGGAATAGACATTCTTGAGGCAAAATATCAAAACAAATGTGAGGAACTTTCATTTCATGGAAGTTTCAATATGGTACAGTGTTTCGCATGGCCCCCAGAAGTTTTCTGCCATCTGTTGTCTTAGTGTAATTAGAAATCATGTGGTCCCCAGAGTGTGCCAGGTCTGCTCCAGTGTTCACTGGGACTCTTTTCTTTTCTGAAGCTACTAATCAAGTGATCTGAAGGGAAGTTTTACAATACCAGAAAAGGGGGGTTGGGAGTTTCTTACTCATGCGGAATTTTGAATTTTAGGAGGAATTCTGCTACCCAGTGGAATGCCTAGCTCTTACTGTGGAAGAAGTGATGCATATTCGTCAAGTCCTGGTGAAGGCAGAGCTGGAAAAATACCAACAATATAAAGATGTCTACACTGCTCTGAAAAAAGGAAAGGTAGAGTTATTTAAAGTTAATTGATCAGCAGGGTTAGAAGAATGGTCAGTCACAGTTATGATCTCCCAAAGGAGTTATCTGCTAACCAGATCATACAGGACTTTTAGGGGATTTTAGGAAGTAAAAGGCATGTTATCTAATAGACAGTTCCTCTTCTGCCTTGCTCACAAAAGGGACTATTTTTGTTAATCCCTTAGAAATCGAAAACGAAGGTTTAAAACGATCATAAGAAATCATAGCACGCCTTCATAAAACCATTTCTCATTTAGTTGTTACACTTTTAAAGGATTTGTAAAGAAAACATATCTGAGAAACAGAGGAGACTTTTTCAGAACCTTCTTCAGATTGCTTCCATCATGGTGAGGCTCTTGAGAGCTGTGGCCTTTGTTACCACATAAAAGTAAAATGATAATTAAATAGAGTGAAATTGTAATTATCACAGAGCCAAATTTGAAAACAGGGCTTCTGAATTTTCTTCTTCCTTCTGTCTACCAAACTTCGCCAATATATAAATGTAAAGTGTCTTCAAACATGTAAATTAGGAAATTAACTGCTAGCAATGCTTTTTTCTCTTTTAAATTTGTATTTTTTTAGCTCTGCTTTTGTTGCCGAACCAGGAGATTTTCCTTCTTCACCTGGTCTTATACCTGTCAGTTCTGTAAGAGGTAAGGTTTTTTTGTAATTGATGATAATAGTCAAATACCAGTTATTTTCATTGTTTCATCATTTTTCTACACAGGAGCAATATTAGAAATGACCCAATCTATTATCGCACTGTTCTGTGCTTGAGCATTAGTAATACTGATTTGTTTAAAAGAGTGGAGCAAATAATTATTTGGTGTTAAACCTGGAAAATGTTTCTGTGCATGTATTTCTTTTTTACAACCAAGATAATTCTAATAATAACATGTCATGTTTGAACAGAAAAAACAGATGTGATTGTCACATGATCCCTAGAGAGACAAGTAAGAAAATTCCAAACATACATGAGTTGATCCTTTTATAAGAAACAGTGTACGAGTTAAGTGATTGTCCTTTTGGCAATCTGCAGTTGTATCGATTTGTTATATTCTGATAGAAGAACCAGAAAGTTTTTGCAGTTTATTGTAGAAATTCTCAACCACGCAGCCAATGGCTTCTCTCTCTCTCCATTCACATACATATATCATGCCAAGTAATACTTCTGATTTTGTATACAGGCCGGTGTGCTCACAGTGTTGCAATAAGGTAAGCTAAGCTTGGCGAAATTATAACTTGTGTTACTTTTAATGACTCTAGCTCTTTAACAGTACTGCTCATTCTCAGTTTTATCTGGGATAATAGATGCGGCTGCCCTCCAAGCCATACTCCACTCTTCCTATCTTTTCATTGGGACCTTCTGCCTTGCAAAGAGAAGAAAGTTCCATGACGCCAGAAAAACCACCCAGTAGCCACCATCGGCCACTTCGGGGCATTGCCAGGTGAGTGAAGGGCCTGAGTCTTCACAGCATCCTTCATAAATGAAGAATGCTCTGGTTGAGAACTGTGGTGACGTGGTAGGGATTTGGCTCAATGGGGTTGGGTTGGTTGGTTGGTTTAGTATAGTTTGACTTTCGCACCAATCTCCAGTATTTCCCAAAGTGACTTGTCAAGGGATAAAAACTAGCTACTTGAAGTATACTTTGATCTTTGTTTGGTTTCTTTGTTTTTTTCCTACTTTAGAAATAATGACTTTTGTGTTCCTTTAAAAATCCTCTTTAAAACTGACCTTGTTTTCAATGGAGTTGAAAACTTACATATAACAGTCTAATCTTTCTTTTCTTCTTTAGTTTTGAAAGACAGTCTATTTAATCCTGTGTTTGCAATGGTCTATAATAACTTTAGCTTACTTCCCTATCATAAAGGTAGAAATAAAACTTCATGCCAAAAGCTGGTAACTTTAAAAAAGTTGCCTGAATTTGTATTTACTGCAGAGTAAGGTTAGTGTTAGTCCTTAAGAAAAATAAAAGGAGGTCAGGCCAGCTTGGGTCACACTGACAGGGCCAAGAGGGTTGAAGTTGTGTGCACCAGCTGCCCCTGTTGGAGAGAGACACTGGGGTTGGTGCCAAATGCCAGACCTTGCCTACTCCTACATGTCATGGCTCTGCAGACAGAGAGACAAGGAAGCTGTGAGCTCAGTAATTCACCTTTGCTCCACACTGTTGCACCTGGCTGCTTTCCATCTCTGCCCTGAGACACTCCGGGTCCATGATGCCCTCTGATTGTGGATTGGCATCCATGCTCAAGGCAGTTGAAGAACAAATCTATTGTTCTTTTTTACACTTACTGTGAATCTGTATTTTTTACTGTTTTATACTTACTGTGAATCTGTATACTTACTGTAAATTCACATTTCATTTAAAATAGTGAGTAGATGATTCCTAGTTATTTCAAGAAGTTACCCAAAACATTTATTATGATGTTGGCTTAGTTAACTCCAGCTCTCTGGAATACATAGAAACAGTCACTCAAACATAGAGAATTGTTCAGGATGGGAAGGCATACAAAAATAACAAGAAAACTGGTCCAAAGACAATCTTTCAGGATGTGTCGATAGATTAACAGTTTCCTGTAGTCTGAAGCTAACTATTGTTTATTAATCATGACACACAGTCACTGGAGAAAGAATTTCAATGGCCTTCTGAATCATCAATAGAACACTGAGAACAATGAAATGTACTTCATTTCGTTTGTGGAAGTTCACAACTCTCTATAGGTAGTAATCAGATGAATATTCAGAAAATCCTATATTCTAAAAATTGTAGAAGGCATGTTACCAGTTTTGAGTATTATTTCTTGATGAAACATGTTTCCCAGTTTCTTTGTTCTTTTTTTTTTGCTATCATTTATGTACAATTACATGAACAACATTATGCTTACTGGATTTCCCCTATTATCACCTCCCCACCACATACCCCACTACAGTCACTGTCCATCAACGTAGTAAGATGCTATAGAATCACTACTTATCTTCTCAGTGTTATATTGCCTATCTTCCCTGTGTCCCCCCTTCACATTATACATGCTAAATGATGCCCCTTTTTCCTCCTTATCCCTCCCTTCCCACCTGTCCTCCCCAGTCCCTTTCCCTTTAGTACCTGTTAGTCCATTCTTGGGTTCTGTGATTCTGCTGCTGTTTTGTTCCTTCAGGTTATGCATTGTTCTTATGCTCCACAGATGAGTGGAATCATTTGATACTTCTCTTTCTCCGCCTGGCTTATTTCACGGAGCATAATACCCTCTAGCTCCATCCATGTTGTTGCAAATGGTAGGATTTGTTTTCTTCTTATGGCTGAAAAGTATTCCATTGTGTATATTTACCAAATCTTCTTTATCCTTTCATCTATTGATGGACACTTCGGTTGTTTCCATTTCTTGGCTATTGTAAATAGTGCTGCGATAAATATAGGGGTGCATATGTCTTTTTGAAACTGGGCTCCTGCATTCTTAGGGTAAATTCCTAGGAGTGGAATTCCTGGGTCAAATGGTATTTCTATTTTTTCTTTTTTGAGGAACCTCCATACTACTTTCCACAATGGTTGAACTATTTTACATTCCCAGCAGCAGTGTAGAAGGGTTCCCTTTTCTCCACATCTTCGCCAACATTTGTTGTTGTTGGTTGTTTGGATGTTGGTCATCCTGACTGTTGTAAGGTAATATCTCATTGTGGTTTTAATTTGCATTTCTCTGATGATTAGGGATTTGGAGCATCTTTTCATGTGCCTGTTGGCCATCTGAATTTCTTCTTTGGAAAACTGCCTGTTCAGCTCCTCTGCCCATTTTTTAATTGGATTATTTGCATTTTGTTTGTTGAGGTGCATGAGCTCTTTATATAATTTGGATGTCAACACTTTATCGGATATGTCATTTATGAATATATTCTCCCATACTGTAGGATGTCTTTTTGTTCTACTGATGGTGTCCTTTGCTATACAGAAGCTTTTTAGTTTGATATAGTCCCACTTGTTCATTTTTGCTTTTGTTTCCCTTGCCCAGGGAGATATGTTCATGAAGAAGTTGCTCATGTTTATGTCCAAGAGATTTTTGCCTATGTTTTTTTCTAAGAGTTTTATGGTTTCATGACTTATATTCAGGTCTTTGATCCTACTTTTGTGTATGGGGTTAGACAGTGGTCCAGTTTCATTCTCTGACATGTAGCTGTCCAGTTTTGCCAGCACCAACTGTTGAAGAGACTGTCATTTCCCCATTGTATATCCATGGCTCCTTTATCATATATTAATTGACCATATATGCTTGGGTTTATATCTGGGCTCTCTAGTCTGTTCCATTGGTCTGTGGGTCTGTTCTTGTGCCAGTACCAAATTGTCTTGATTGCTATGGCTTTGTAGTAGAACTTGAAATCAGGGTGTGTAATGGCCCCTGCTTTATATTTCCTTCTCAGGATTGCTTTGGCTATTCAGGGTCTTTGGTGGTTCCATATGAATTTTAGAACTACTTGCTCTAGTTCGTTGAAGAATGCTGTTGGTATTTTGATAGGGATTGCACTGAATCTGTAGATTGCTTTAGGCAGGATGGCCATTTTGACAATATTAATTCTTCCTATCCATGAGCATGGGATGTGTTTCCATTTATTGGTATCTTCCTTAATTTCTCTCATGAGTGTCTTCTCATTTTCAGAGTCTAGGTCTTTGACTTCCTTGGTTATCTTTATTCCTAGGTATTTTATTCTTTTTTGATGCAATTGTGAACAGAATTGTTTTCCTGATTTCTCTTTCTGTAGTTCACCGTTAGTGTATAGGAATGCTACAGATTTCTGTACATTAATTTTCTATCCCGTAACTTTGCTGTATTCAGATATTAGATCTAGTAGTTATGAAGTGGATTCTTTAGGGTTTTTTATATACAATATCATGTCATCTTCAGCAGGGACAGTTTGACTTCTTTCTTACCAATCTGGATGCCTTTTATTTCTTTGTGCTGTCTGATTGCCATGGACAGGGCCTCCAGTACTATGTTGAATAAAATTGGGTAAAGTGGGCATCCTTGTCTTGTTCCTGATCTTAGAGGAAAAGCTTTCAGCTTCTTGCTGTTAAGTATGATGTTGCCTGTGGGTTTTTCATATAAGGCCTTTAATATGTTGAGGTACTTGCCCTCTGTACCTATTTTGTTGAGAGTTTTTATCATGAATGGATGTTGAATTTTGTCAAATGCTTTTTCAGCATCTATGCAGATGATCATGTGGTTTTTGTCCTTTTTGTTGATGCGGTGGATGATATTGATGGATTTTCTAATGTTGTACCATCCTTGCATCTCTGGGATGAATCCCACTTGATCATGATGGATGATCTTTTTGAATTCGGTTTGCTAATATTTTGTTGAGTATTTTTGCATCTATGTTCATCAGGGATACTGGTCTGTAATTTTCTTTTTTTGTGGTGTCTTTGCCTGGTTTTTGTATTAGAGTGATGTTGGCCTCGTAGAATGAGTTTGGATGTATTCCCTACTCTTCTACTTTTTGGAAAACTTTAAGGAAGATGGGTATTAGATCTTCACTAAATGTTTGATGAAATTCAGCAGTGAAACTATCTGGTCCAGGAGTTTTGTTCTTAGGTAGTTTTTTTATTACGAATTCAATTTCTTTGCTGGTAATTGGTATGTTCGGATGTTCTGTTTCTTCCTGGGTCAGCCTTGGAAGGTTGTATTTTGCTAGAAAGTTGTCCATTTCTTTTAGGTTATCCAGTTTGTTGCCATATAATTTTTCATAGTATTGTCTCATAATTCTTTGTATTTCTGTGGTGTCTGTACTGATTTTTCCTTTCTCATTTCTGATTCTGTTTATGTATGTAGATCTCTTTTTTTTTCTTGATAAGTCTGGCTAGGGGTTTATCTATTTTGTTTATTTTTCTCAAAGAACCATCCCTTGCTTTCATTGATTCTTCTTATTGTTTTATTCTTCTCAATTTTATTTATTTCTGCTCTAATCTTTATTATGTCCCTCCTTCTACTGATTTCTCCCTATTAGTTGCATGAAATATCTTTTCATATCCCTTCACTTTCAGTCTGTGTATGTCTTTGGGTTTGAAGTGAGTCTCTTGTAGGCAGCATATAGATGGGTCTTGTTTTTTTATCCATTCAGTGACTATATGTCTTTTGGTTGGTGCATTCAAACTGTTTACATTTGGGCCTAATTTATTCTTCCGTTTCTAGTTTCATTAATTGTGAGTTTAGCTTGTCCATTTGGGATTGTTCTTTCCTGAGGTAGGCCTGTATTGCAATATACTTCCCTTTTAGCATGGCCTTCAGTACATCCCACAGATTTTGCAGTATTGAATTATTGTTGTCATTTATCTCCATACATTGCTTGATCTCTGTTTTTATTTGGTCATTGATCCATTGATTATTTAGAAACATGTTATTAAGCCTCCATGTGTTAGTGGGCTTTTCATTTTCTTTATGTAATTTATTTCTAGTTTCATACCTTTGTGATCTGAGAAGCCGGTTTGTACAATTTCAGTCTTTTTTAGTTTACTGAGGCTCTTTTTGTGGCCTAGTATATGATCTATTCTTGAGAATGTTCCATGTACACTTGAGAAGAACATGTATCCTGTTGCTTTTAGATGAAGTGTTCTGTAAATGTCCATTAGGTCCATCTGTTCTAATATATTGTTCAGTGCCTCTGTCCCTTTACTTATTTTCTGTCTGATTGATCTGTCTCTTTGGAGTGAGTGGTGTGTTGAAGCCTCCTAAAATGAATGCATTGCATTCTATTTCCCCCTTTAATTCTGTTAGTATTTGTTTTACATATGTAGGTGATCCTGGGTTGGGTTCATAGATATTTATAATAGTTATATCCACTTGTTGCACTGACCCCTTTATCATTATGTAATGTCCTCCTTTGTCTCTTGTTACTTTCTTTCTTTTGAAGTCTATTTTGTCTGATACAAGTACTGCAACTCCTGCTTTTTTCTCCCTATTAGTTGCATGAAATATCTTTTTACATCCCTTCGCTTTCAGTCTGTGTATGTCTTTGGGTTGAAGTGAGTCTCTTGTAGGCAGCATATAGATGGGTCTTGTTTTTTTAGACTCTATTCAGTGACTCTATGTCTTCTGATTGGTGCGTTCAAACTGTTTACATTTAGGGTGATTACCGATAGATACGTACTTATTGACATTACAGGCTTTAGATTCGTGGTTACCAGAGGTTGAAGGGTAATTCCCTTACTGTCTAACAGTCTAATTTAGCTCACTTTGTATGCTATTACAAACACAACCTAAAGGTTCTTTTTTTTGTTTTTCATCCTTTTCTTCCTCCTCCATTCTTTGTATCTTAGATATCATATTCTGTACTCTTTGTCTATCCCTTGATTGACTTTTGGGGTTGTTGATGTGATTTTGCATCTGCTTTGTAATTGTTCTACTTTGCTGTGCTTTTATTTCCCCTGGTGACATCTATTTAGCCTTAGGAATACTTCCATCTATAGCAGTCCCTCCAAAATCCACTGTAGAGGTGGTTTGTAGGCAGTAAATTCTCTCAGCTTTTGCTTATCTGAAAATTGTTTAATCCCTCCTTCAAATTTAAATAATAACCTTGCCAGGTAGAGTATTCTTGGTTCGAGGCCCTTCTGCTTCATTGCCTTAAATATATCATTCCACTCCCTTGTGGCCTGTAAGGTTTCTATTGACAAATCTGATGATAGCCTGATGGGTTTTCCTTTGTAGGTGATCTTTTTTCTCTCTCTAGCTGCTTTTAAAAGTCTGTCTTTATCCTTGATCTTTGCCATTTTAATTATTATATGTCTTGGTGTTGTCTTCCTTGGGTCCCTTGTGTTCAGAGATCTGTGCACCTCCATGGCTTGAAAGACTATCTCCTTCCCCATATTGGGGAAGTTTTCAGTAATTACCTCCTCAATAACACTTTCTATCCCTTTTTCTCTCTTCTTCTGGTATCCCTATAATGTGGATATTTTTCCGTTTGGATTGGTCACACCATTCTCTCAATATTCTTTCATTCTTAGAGATACTTTTTTCTCTCTGTGCCCCAGCTTCTTTGTATTCCTCTTCTCTAATTTCTATCCTACTTACCATCTCTTCTACTACATCTAGTCTGCTTTTAAATCCCTCCATTGTATGTCTCATTTCAGATATGGAATTTCTTAATGATTGGATCTCCATCTTAAATTTGTCCCTGAGTTCTTGAATATGTTTCTGTACCTCCATGAGCATGTTTATGATTTTTATTTTAAACTCTCAGGAAGATTTGGTGTTTTCAGTTCCATGTGGTCCTTTTTCTGGGGTTTTTGATATTTTGGTCTGAACCAGGTTTCTTTGACAATTCATAATTCTATGTGGTGCCCTCTGGTGCCCAGAAGCTCCAGTCTCTGGAGCTGCTCAGCCCCTAGAGTGAGGTTGGGGGTCGTAGGGGAGCAGCACTGGTGTCTGGGGGCAGGAAAGAGCTGTTTCCTGATTCTCAGCTGTAGTGCCTGTCTCCAGTATCAGAGCCAGTGGGCTGAGCACACAGGTATAAGCCTCTGTGCTTGGCGTCTCTAGCTGTTGCAGGCAGGCACCCCCTCCGGCTGGCCTGATGCCAGTGCTGTGACTGCCTGTTTGCAAGCAGGTGCTGGCAGGCCAGTAGGAAAGTGCAGCAGGCTGTGTGTCACAGTGGAGGGCCTCGGAGCTGAGTAGGCAGCCACGGGGATGGGCTGCCTGAAGCTCCTCAAAATTCTCAACCTGCTGAGCAGAGTGAGCCCAGACAACCTTGTCCACCTATCCCTTCTCCCACGCAGCAAGCCCCGTGCAAACCCCAGCCCTTCGGCAGCCATCTCGGTGCTGGGAAGCCTCTCAGACCGCCTGCCTTTCCTTTGTCCCAGAGCGGCTGGATGTAGATCCCTATCCTCCACAAACAGCCAGAATCCCAGTCTTTTAGGCACTCCACCTATCCCAGCACCCCAACCCCAGCAACCTCCAGAGCACCACACAATGTAGGTTTGTGCTCCAAAGCAGATCTCCAGGGCTGGGTGTTCAGCAGTCCCAAGCTTCCACCCTCTCCCCACTCCGTTTCTCTTCCTCCTCCCAGTGAGCAGGGGTGGGGGAAGGGCTCAGGTCCCGCTGGATCAAGGCTTTCATACTTAACCTGTTTCGTGAGGTCTGCTGTGTTCATGAGGTCTGTATGCAGTCTGGTGCAGCCTTCTTTCCTGTTGCTGTTTTAGGCCCAGTTGTATTAACTATATTTTCATGCTGTATGTGGTTTTGGGAGGAATTCTCTGTCTTACCTCTCACGCTGCCATCTGAATCCTTGTGCCTTTTTTTTTTAACCTTGTTTCCAATTAGAAATTCTTCTTTGGAAGAGCATGATAATGACTAAATGGCTCACCCATTCCATAATGCTTTAACAAGTTACATTTTTCGCATGTATTTTCTTAGTATTACAGTAGAACTATAAGTAATACTAGATGTTTTAAATGTTTTGTTTTTTCCCAGGTTCTCCTCAAAATCTAAGTGTGTGGACAAATCCAGTGAAGAACTACAACTTCCAAAAGAGTTAATGGAGGACTGGAGTACTATGGAGGTGTGTGTAGACTGCAAAAAGTTTATTTCAGAAATCATCAGTTCAAGCCAGCACAGCCTGTTGTTGGCCAACAAGAGAGCCCGATTAAAAAAGAAAACACAGTCTTTCTATATGTCCTCTCCAGGTCCCTCGGAATACTGCCCTTCGGAGAGGACTATCAATGAAATATGAGCCCCGTGCCTTTCAGTTGTTTTTGTGTTCAGAGTCAGCATTAGCACGGGAGAACACTGAGCTGGACTGTCTTTCCTGGCTGTGGTGTTAGTTAACAGGCTTGAATTTGCATTAGATCAGGTTTTTGCTGCATCGCATTGTTCCATAGACTGAATGCTATGTTCGTACCAATTGGTGATATGTGACAGGTCAGCCGATTGCTCATTTACACTGAGAGAGAACAATAGTTTGAAACTTGGCTTTTGTGTGTGTGTGGTATATGGAGGCCAGAAACTTTGTCCTTAGTTCAGTTCCTTACTGTTTCCCAAATAATTTTCTGACTAAGGCAAAAGCTTCTCATGTGAGAATCAGCCTAACAAAGGTGTTGATGTTAGCACAGTTGTAAGCAGTAAGTCATATTGGCACTTCCACCTGACAGTGTCCCTGTAACGTAAATAGTGATCCAGAGCCTAGCCACACACCAGATACCTGGATTTGGGGCCAGGTGTTTGTCATCATCTCACAGCACAAAACCTAAAAGGATTTTCTCATACTATCACACTGATTTTAAATTACTGTTGCTCTGAGATGAAAACTACAGGAGGGACTTTATGCCTACATTCTAGTGCAAAACATCTGAATAAGCTGTACAGCCAGCCAAGTGGGTGGCCGTTTCCTCTGAGCTGCTATCTTTGCCCCAGTGCAATGGATCAGTGTCTCCTGAGCAGGACACAGGTTTTCATTTCCTATTTTGAATGTGTTATGGTTACTTGTAGTTTTATAATGAAGGTCTAAGAATTAAAGTTTTGTGGGAGTTTCAGGACAAAGACAGGCCAAAGTTTGTTAAGAAGTTGAGTGTATTTTGATTAACAAGGAGGGGGTTGTGACAACATGGGGGGCCAGCTGTTGGCCACACTGTGGGAGATGAGCTTGAACTCATACATTTTCAGTACATTTTTCATAACTTTATGGTCTTGCCATCACAACTAAATTAAGCCACAATTTGGTACCTTAGGTCTCAAACTGAAATTTATTTTTATAAATGAATTTTAAAAGAGGAAACATTCTCTAGTTCTCTTAAAATAAGAAGAAAATTAATCTGATGGGCTTTTTGGATGCTTTTTGCACAAGTTTTCCTTGTGAATGACTCACGTGAGTAGGGTGGCTTTTGAATAACAATTGGGGAAGTTTTCAGTAATTACCTCCTCAATAACACTTTCTATCCCTTTTTCTCTCTTCTTCTGGTATCCCTATAATGTGGATATTTTTCCGTTTGGATTGGTCACACCATTCTCTCAATATTCTTTCATTCTTAGAGATACTTTTTTCTCTCTGTGCCCCAGCTTCTTTGTATTCCTCTTCTCTAATTTCTATCCTACTTACCATCTCTTCTACTACATCTAGTCTGCTTTTAAATCCCTCCATTGTATGTCTCATTTCAGATATGGAATTTCTTAATGATTGGATCTCCATCTTAAATTTGTCCCTGAGTTCTTGAATATGTTTCTGTACCTCCATGAGCATGTTTATGATTTTTATTTTAAACTCTCAGGAAGATTTGGTGTTTTCAGTTCCATGTGGTCCTTTTTCTGGGGTTTTTGATATTTTGGTCTGAACCAGGTTTCTTTGACAATTCATAATTCTATGTGGTGCCCTCTGGTGCCCAGAAGCTCCAGTCTCTGGAGCTGCTCAGCCCCTAGAGTGAGGTTGGGGGTCGTAGGGGAGCAGCACTGGTGTCTGGGGGCAGGAAAGAGCTGTTTCCTGATTCTCAGCTGTAGTGCCTGTCTCCAGTATCAGAGCCAGTGGGCTGAGCACACAGGTATAAGCCTCTGTGCTTGGCGTCTCTAGCTGTTGCAGGCAGGCACCCCCTCCGGCTGGCCTGATGCCAGTGCTGTGACTGCCTGTTTGCAAGCAGGTGCTGGCAGGCCAGTAGGAAAGTGCAGCAGGCTGTGTGTCACAGTGGAGGGCCTCGGAGCTGAGTAGGCAGCCACGGGGATGGGCTGCCTGAAGCTCCTCAAAATTCTCAACCTGCTGAGCAGAGTGAGCCCAGACAACCTTGTCCACCTATCCCTTCTCCCACGCAGCAAGCCCCGTGCAAACCCCAGCCCTTCGGCAGCCATCTCGGTGCTGGGAAGCCTCTCAGACCGCCTGCCTTTCCTTTGTCCCAGAGCGGCTGGATGTAGATCCCTATCCTCCACAAACAGCCAGAATCCCAGTCTTTTAGGCACTCCACCTATCCCAGCACCCCAACCCCAGCAACCTCCAGAGCACCACACAATGTAGGTTTGTGCTCCAAAGCAGATCTCCAGGGCTGGGTGTTCAGCAGTCCCAAGCTTCCACCCTCTCCCCACTCCGTTTCTCTTCCTCCTCCCAGTGAGCAGGGGTGGGGGAAGGGCTCAGGTCCCGCTGGATCAAGGCTTTCATACTTAACCTGTTTCGTGAGGTCTGCTGTGTTCATGAGGTCTGTATGCAGTCTGGTGCAGCCTTCTTTCCTGTTGCTGTTTTAGGCCCAGTTGTATTAACTATATTTTCATGCTGTATGTGGTTTTGGGAGGAATTCTCTGTCTTACCTCTCACGCTGCCATCTGAATCCTTGTGCCTTTTTTTTTTAACCTTGTTTCCAATTAGAAATTCTTCTTTGGAAGAGCATGATAATGACTAAATGGCTCACCCATTCCATAATGCTTTAACAAGTTACATTTTTCGCATGTATTTTCTTAGTATTACAGTAGAACTATAAGTAATACTAGATGTTTTAAATGTTTTGTTTTTTCCCAGGTTCTCCTCAAAATCTAAGTGTGTGGACAAATCCAGTGAAGAACTACAACTTCCAAAAGAGTTAATGGAGGACTGGAGTACTATGGAGGTGTGTGTAGACTGCAAAAAGTTTATTTCAGAAATCATCAGTTCAAGCCAGCACAGCCTGTTGTTGGCCAACAAGAGAGCCCGATTAAAAAAGAAAACACAGTCTTTCTATATGTCCTCTCCAGGTCCCTCGGAATACTGCCCTTCGGAGAGGACTATCAATGAAATATGAGCCCCGTGCCTTTCAGTTGTTTTTGTGTTCAGAGTCAGCATTAGCACGGGAGAACACTGAGCTGGACTGTCTTTCCTGGCTGTGGTGTTAGTTAACAGGCTTGAATTTGCATTAGATCAGGTTTTTGCTGCATCGCATTGTTCCATAGACTGAATGCTATGTTCGTACCAATTGGTGATATGTGACAGGTCAGCCGATTGCTCATTTACACTGAGAGAGAACAATAGTTTGAAACTTGGCTTTTGTGTGTGTGTGGTATATGGAGGCCAGAAACTTTGTCCTTAGTTCAGTTCCTTACTGTTTCCCAAATAATTTTCTGACTAAGGCAAAAGCTTCTCATGTGAGAATCAGCCTAACAAAGGTGTTGATGTTAGCACAGTTGTAAGCAGTAAGTCATATTGGCACTTCCACCTGACAGTGTCCCTGTAACGTAAATAGTGATCCAGAGCCTAGCCACACACCAGATACCTGGATTTGGGGCCAGGTGTTTGTCATCATCTCACAGCACAAAACCTAAAAGGATTTTCTCATACTATCACACTGATTTTAAATTACTGTTGCTCTGAGATGAAAACTACAGGAGGGACTTTATGCCTACATTCTAGTGCAAAACATCTGAATAAGCTGTACAGCCAGCCAAGTGGGTGGCCGTTTCCTCTGAGCTGCTATCTTTGCCCCAGTGCAATGGATCAGTGTCTCCTGAGCAGGACACAGGTTTTCATTTCCTATTTTGAATGTGTTATGGTTACTTGTAGTTTTATAATGAAGGTCTAAGAATTAAAGTTTTGTGGGAGTTTCAGGACAAAGACAGGCCAAAGTTTGTTAAGAAGTTGAGTGTATTTTGATTAACAAGGAGGGGGTTGTGACAACATGGGGGGCCAGCTGTTGGCCACACTGTGGGAGATGAGCTTGAACTCATACATTTTCAGTACATTTTTCATAACTTTATGGTCTTGCCATCACAACTAAATTAAGCCACAATTTGGTACCTTAGGTCTCAAACTGAAATTTATTTTTATAAATGAATTTTAAAAGAGGAAACATTCTCTAGTTCTCTTAAAATAAGAAGAAAATTAATCTGATGGGCTTTTTGGATGCTTTTTGCACAAGTTTTCCTTGTGAATGACTCACGTGAGTAGGGTGGCTTTTGAATAACGGTAGGTTGGAGGGTGGCATTGTATACCTGAAGCATCTCAGCTTCTTTGGCCCAGGCTATACTTTATTACTTTTGTATACTTAGAAATGACTAATCAACCAAATTGCCATTAATGTTTGGAAAAATCAATTAATACACATGCACAATAGTTTCCTAAAAGCTGTAGGACATATCTGTAGTCAACACTACAATACCACCGTTTAATAAAAGGCATGGTAGTGGCATTTCATACCACATCAAAATGTAATAACATTAATACCTCAAAACTGCTCTGGTAGTAGTTTTTAATGGATTGAAATTTATAATTTTAGTAAACGGCTTAAAATTACTTATGAAATAAACTTTACCACTTGATTAAGATAATGATGTTAACAGTTCATCTGTATTTGCATGTAAAAGTGGGCCACCTGAGAACCCTTATTGGTTATGCAAATGTTTAAATTATTTTAAAGACTCTTATTTAAGAGGTTTGACATGATATTGGGTGAATTCATTTGTATAATTTTCCAAAGGATGATTAAAACTCTCTAACCCAGATGATTTGGTGGGAGCCACACCTTTGAAAGCCCCAATCTTGAACCTCTAAACCACTACCCGGAAGGGCACAAGGGAGAAGGAACAGTATTTACATATGTATGTAGACATGACCTAGAATAGTGTGCTTTTAAAAATAATGACTAGTTTGCTGTTATTAAAACATAAGAAATTAACCCCCCAAAATGAGAAATTTCATCTACATTCACAAGCAAATGTCTAGCATGTCTCAATCTTTAACTTCACTTCTTCAGGTTTATGATACTATATAGATGGATTTGGGCATTACGATCACCTCTTACCAGAGGTCTTAATCCTTCAGTAGCATTAAGGAAGTTTGCCAAGTGCATTAAAGAGGTCAAGTGGATGGCAAGTCTACATGAGGCAATTTGCAGACAAGTATAAGAAAAGGGACCATCACACAAGTTACAATTACAGAAATCAAATTACCACCACTTTTTGTTGCCAGAACAATTTCTTGCATTTAACCCTCCCTTATCCATGACATGTACCCAACATCTCAAGTAAATTAGGTAATTTCCAGGGACAATTCACTAATAGCTTATGGCGTGTGGTTTTACAATCCTTGGCCTACTTGGCCTACAAACCTTTGGCCCATTTTCCTCTTTTTAACCACTGAAATAACATACCTTCACAGTATTCTTCTTTGTCCTTGTTTCTGACTATTCAGCATTTACTTCTGATCCAACAACAAAAATGTTGTTGGCCAGTTGGTCTCAGTTGGAGCCCAAAGTGTCTTAGAGCTCGTGTGTACAGCTCAGCAGCCCTCCCTGCTCACATGCCCGCTCCCCTAACTCCCTCCAGACCCCAGCACCTGCTCCTTTTGTCCCAGACCTCATGAACTCGCCCTGTGGGAGATCTGTTTCTTTTCCCACAGGATAACTTCCTATCAATGTCAGAATTGGTAAGAATGCCTGTAAATACTGTAATATATTTATTAATATTTGAAGGGCATTCATTTATTGGGCAGTGGGAATTAGCTCTCCCAAGGCAAGAAAGAATTAAATAATTGATATGTACATTGATTTAACAGTCTTACTAGATTTCAAGTCTTAAGCCTTTCAAATTAAACCAGAAGGTTTTTATGTAGGAATTTTAAAAGTGATCTTACATTTGAAGAAATTATGTGATCAGCCACCGTGAACTCATACCATGAATTTTTAAAGGCTTTTACTTTTCTAACTGTATTATTAAGTATGGGACTGGATTTTGGGTTTCACATAGGAGACATGAAAGTTTTAAATTATGTTGCTATTTGCTAAAGCAACATAGCAGAAAATTTTGTACATGCAAAACTGTTGACAGGCCATGGATAAATGTGTACACTGACTAGACTTTGACCGGGCTTTTGTGTGCATAAAAGCCACGCTATTGCTGGCATTCAGGGTGACATGAAGGTACTAAATGTTTTCCATTACAGTATTTTATTTTAAATTTATCTAGGGAAAAATAAAATGGCTTTCCATCATACCTTTGTGTTGAGTTCCTGTTGTAAAATCGTGATGTCTTTTGGTAACTAGCTGTCAGAAACCACCTAAGTTCAGAAGGTAGTATACTTTTATCATCAGCAGGTTACAGTCAGTTTGAGAAATACAATATAACAGAGACCACACTGGAAAAATAAATAAAAATGAAGCCATCATGACTCCTTTTTTACCTCAACAGGGTAGAAACTTAAATTTCTATAAGAAGTATATGACATTTTATTATATAAGAAGTCACATCATATATGGAGATAAATTATGTATAGAAAGAAAAGTTTTATACATTTTTTTCTAAATAGAATTCCTGACATATCCCATGATAAGGCAAATTTCTTATTGTAGCACTTAAATTGTTTGAGAAAAATTACGAAGATTAAACCCAGAATGAACTTATTAGGAAAATTCCTATGATCTTATGTTAACTACACAGAGTATCATTTAAGAGAGTATCATTAAGAAATACCATTTAATATGTTTATAGATCTTAAATATTACATGATACAGAGTTTGGTATTAATTCATTTATACAGGCTGTTCCCATATTTGCTAGACATAGTTCAGGATCCCCTTCCACTGAAGTTTCTCTGTGATAGTGTATAACAAGACATTTTTGTGTGTGTCTTAACTCATAGTGCAAATGTTCACTGACTTGCTCAGTCCATGTCAGAGCGCCTTGTGCCTCCTGAACGACAGAGACACAGAAAATTTGTATACTATAAAGAGGAAAGCTTTGGGTACCCCTTATTTAACTGTATCTTTCTTTTTCCTTCCCAGTGGAGAAAATAATACACAGTTGTAAATCATCATAGCCTAGAATTTTATAAAGAGATCTCTTTTTAGGAAAGGGCCTGATTAGGCATGTGCTGTGTTTAAAGACTCCAGTTCTGCTCTCTCTGCAGAATGTGTGGGTGTACACACACAGATATTCATTATAATTCTCACAAAGGGTATGTTTCTTCTTTCATGTCAGCCAAAGGTTCATGTCTAGAAACATCCTCTTTTGCCCCCCCAAAAAAGTTATGAGCAAAGAACTACTTAATATATAACTTCCTATACTAAGTGAACATTCAGGTGCCAATTACCTGGCAGACTGAATTGGCACAATTATTCTGGCTCATTCCATTAAAATGTATATGATGTATAATTTATTTAGAATAGATCTCACTGTGCAGCAAAATTCTGGAGCTGTCTGCTGTTGGATTTTGATGCTGGTGGCAAAGTCAGAGCCACTCAAATATTATTGAAGTAGTGGAGATAAAAGGTCTTCAGAACTATCAGAACACAGCTCTTTGAAAAGTGGGCATTAGAAGGTTCCTTATTTAAGAAAAAAGAAAGGTTCCTTATGTCTGTGGCTGAAGAATCATCTGGACGTTTAAACCTATGCCATGTTGGACAGAAATCGGCGCTCAGATTTCTTTTGCCACCCTGTCCTGCAGTAGGAATGCTGCTCTAATGAATCTGATCATCTGTGAATTGTAGAAAAGCTGGAACTCTCTCTCCTTGGGTGTGCTCACAAGAAGGAACACCCTTGAGCAAGAATGTTCACTTGAAGTTTGCCCTTCTGTATATTCTTCTTTGCTTCGGTGTTCCTTTTTTTCTGCATAAATTATGTTGGTTCCTGGCCTACCTTCCCCCTGGTCTTTTTCCCGAGAGTGACACAGCAGAGGATATCACATCCCAACTCCTCCCATGGGCATTAGTGTTTAGAAGAGTAGAAATGCCTAAGATGAATTGAGGATTTCTGTAGAGCTAACCTGAATGTCAAGTTCCTGACCAAATACATAGAAGCTGTAGGAAAGCATGTGAGAGAAAGAGAAAGAAGGAACAGCAAGATTCTGCACAGGTAAATCTGAACAATGTAGCTGTTGCAGTGTAGAGCCTAATGTGTAAACAGAAAATAGAGTAGATTCCTTTAAAAGGAAGGAACTTTGATCTTAGACACCTAGATCTAAGTGTCTTAGAGAAAAGAAGCCCAAGATTTCAGTTTGCCTGCCAAGGAAGGGAACATGACTTGAGATAAAAGTGCCTCAAGTCATCCTACCACAATCTCAAGGTCATTTCAAGAGTCAGATTCACAGAATATAAGCTTGGACTAAGCACAATGGGTATAATTGGCTAGACACTCCCACCTCCAAGTGACTCCTGTTGTGGCCAATAGTAGATGCACCTCCTTCATACTAAGAACTGGACCTCTCTCTATTCTACAATGGTACTCACTAGCAAAAATAATTTTTCAGGACCATGGAGCTTTTATCTTGATAACTGAACAAGAACTAGTCTGTAATTAGCAAAGCAGATTCTTTCAGCAGTACCTGGCTTCAAGTATCTGAAGTGGTTCTAACTATGCCTCAGCTTGGCAGCAAAATGGCTGCCTAACATTGGGAACATTCCTTAACATTTCTATATTTCCGTTTTTTGTATTTTTAAGCAAGAGTGTTAGATGAGGTGGTAGCTAAGGTTCTTTTTAACCAGAAGTGGAATTCAACACACTGGATCAATCCAAACAAATGCTACATAGGTAATGACCAGTAAATAATTGAAAACCTAGCCAACCATAGTAAGAAATTGAGAAAAACCTTTGTGCAACCAAGCTAAGTCTTTCACCAAAGTGAAGTGTGAAATGACTGATAGTTTCTGGGCAATATTTCTCTGTGTTGATGATAATTTGATTATGTATATTACATGAACACAAACTATCCAAAAATGCTGCATTTGTTTGAAACTGGGTTAGGCAAAGGCAAAAATTCAGTGTTAGTGATTGCTGCAAAGACTCTGAGTTCTTGTTATATGTCAGTTATACCTCAATAAAAGACCCTGAGATCATCTCCCAAAATTAAAAAGAAAATTTCAGAAACATGAGTTGACATATGCTAAAAAATAGACAAAAAACAACCAACACCTTTGCACCAGCTGTTTTGCATCAGCAACATTCAGTTACTGGTGATTCATATCCCAACCTTGCATGATGGAAAGGCCATGTCTGGGCAAGTCTTTGTCCACAGGAATGATGTGTATTCCTGTTGGAGATGTAAAGATAAGCAAGTAGCTGTAGGGGCAACTACATATAACAGACTTATCTTCTCCATTAAAAGGAAACAAGAGAACAGACAAATCTTATCCAGCTTGTTCTAAGAATCAGTTACCATGGTCACAGGGAGTCCCCAATACATACACCTTCCGGAGCAGTAATGGGTCCCCAGCCAGGAAGCATATTTTTTGGCCCTCTGTACTGTAGACCCCATCACTGTCTGGCTGTCTTCCCTACCTAGTTTGATCTCTACTATCGACTTTCAGAGCTGAAAGTAATCCAAGAAGACATTCCGTCTACCCTCTCCAATGGCAAGCTCTTGGCTTTGTTTAAACATGTCCTGGACCAAGCAGACTTATTTTCTATGAAATTCTGTCTTTGAACAGGTTTAACCATTTGGAAGTTCAGCCCTCATCTAGTTTACCCCCATTGTTTACTCCCTGGTTGTGTCTCCTGTAGCTCCACAGAATGTGCCTACTCTCCCTTCCCTTAAATAGCCTCTTAGCCCACATGTCTCTCAGCAACCCTTCCTACTCCTCCCTACTCTCTTCTGCACCTTCTTTTTCTCTGTGCACTTAATATCTAACAGCCTACTACAGTGTTTCATGAAGGCAAGGATCTTCATCAGATTTCTTCACTTCCATATCCCCAATTTCTGAAAAAAATAACCTGGCATGCAACAAGTGCTCAATAAATGTTTGTGGAGTGAATTAGTGAACAAGCAAGCAAGTTCAATATGGAAATGAGAAATACAAAGATGGAACCATCAAAATATCTTCAAAACAATCAAAGTGAGTTATCTGCTCATTAACAGAAATGCCATGTACAGCACCTGTGTCTTTCCTCTAAGTGAACAAATCACTGTGGCCCTGAAGTAGCTAATGAGGATGGAGAAGCTTCAGTCAGCAGCTCATGCCATTCATTATTTATTTATACTGGAGTTTGCAGAAACCCTACTTGCCAGTCTGGGTTTCCTGCCATACTCTTGTAAGCACCACTCATCACACCTTCCTCTCTGGTGTCTCTGCTTCTAGAGCTACTGGGTGGAATCACCGGGCACAGCCCTGCCTCCCTGACGCAGCTTTTTTCCATTAACAGTTGATACACAGAAGTACAAAGACCCTCGAGGCTTATAATCAAAACTGCTATATAAATGCAAAGGATTCAGTTATCAGTACTGAGTTGGTACTCAACCTTTTATACTTGCCTCTTTTATAGTATGGTAGTTAACTCCTACTAGCAATTGTAACATTTTGATTAAAATTTATGGGCCAACTGGACTGAAATAAAAATATTAAGCTATTTCACATTTGTCATAAAACAGTTTGGCTAAGAATAATAAAAGTAAAAATAAGCTTTATGGTGTTGGATACTCTGCTGTATGTTACTTTTAGTATATAATTTTAAGAATATGTTGCTGATTTTCAGTAAATAATAGCTACCAGTTTTTGAACACTTGCTTGTTATCAGCCCCATTATCTCCTTCAATACCAACTGTGAAGTACATACTATTAATACCTTCTTTTCCAGGTGGGAAACAGGAAAGGCAAGGTTGTCATTTGCACAAGGTCACACCACTAGCGTGGCAGAGCTCCAGTTCCAAAGGTGTGCTCGTAACCTTGCTGCATTTCCAGCTGCTCTTCCTGTCTTCGAAATCCAGAGTCACCAAAGCACTTAATGCCCAGAACTGTGATGCAAAGTAGAACTTCTGGCCTTGGCTCCTGGGGAACTTTAAACTGGTCCGATACATAGGTGAATAGTTTTAAAAAATTGTCCAATGCAATATAAACTCTAGAAATGTATAGTAAACTGTGAGCTACTGTCAGTCAAGGATGGCTTTCATGGAAGCAGATTTTAAAGTGGGCTCAGAGGAAAGAAAGAACCCAGTATTTCTCAAAGTGTAACTTGATGCCCACCTGCATCAGAATAATTCCACTGCCTAGGCCTTAGTGTTGACT